CCTGTTATACCGACACACTGCTCCAAACGTGAGATTAAAATTTCATGGTCTACAGTGTCAAATGCAGCAGTTAAATCGAGTAAAATAAGAATGACACTTTCACCAGAATCACATGATAAAAATATATCATTAAAAATTCTTAAAAGTGCTGATTCAGTGCTATGCATTGCTTTAAAACCAGATTGAAAAATCTCCTGAACATTTTGCGCATTCAAGTATGAGATCAGTTGGTCATATACAAGTTTTCCAAGACTTTAGATAAAAAGGGCAGCTTAGATATTGGTCTAAAGTTTATCTAGCCCAGGTTTCTTAAGAAGTGGTTGCACAATTGCATCTTTGAAATTCTTTGAAACCACACCTGAAGTAAGGCTGCTATTTAAAATGGTTAAAATAGTTGGACCTATGGTAGAAAAAACTTCTTTCAGAAAAAGGGGAGGGATAGGATCATAAGGTGAGCCTACAGGCTTTAAATGATCCAACACCTCCTGTAGCTGAGCAAGAGTAACCGACTCAAACTGTTGAAAGACAGCTGAGCAAATTGGAAGATCAGAGGGGTCAGATGTGGGCAAAATAATCTGCGCCCTAGCCGAGGCTACCTTGTTTATAGAGAAGTGCAGAAACATTTCACACATTTACAGCGCTAATGCTTTAACGTGCTAACACGTTGACATTGTGCAGCCCCACGCACAGGGTGATCCGCACTAACTCGCTAACAGAGATTTGCAGCGTTATGCAGTTATGGCATTAACGTCATTTTAACGAGAGTAACGCTGACAGCACTAATATTAAGTAATTCATAATATTCAGAATACGTTACTCTCATTAAGTAACTTAACGGAATACGTTGCAAAATACATTTTGGGCCAAGTATTCTGTAATCTGTAGTGAAATACATTTTAAAAGTAACCTTCCCAACACTGGTTGTAAGGTACAGTAAGTGAGGTTCTTGTGATCTGTCACTATAGTAGGCTACTCGGCTCCCTACAGCTAGTGATGCCATTTCTCCAGCGCCAACTTCACTGTGAGCAGCCTCCGATGAGTCATGTCATAATTATGTTCTGTATGGGCATCTTATGTTTTGTGTTAATTCATATTTTGTATTAGTTCTTAGGGTTTGGTTTTTGTGTTTAGTGTTTTATGAGCCCTACCTGTATCTGTCCTCTGTGCTCTGTTCGTGTCCCTGAGTTTGTGTTGTAAAACGGTCTGTGTGTTTCCTGTTTTACTTTGAAGGTTTGTGTCTTGTCTTGTGAATTAGGTTCAGCTGTGCTCCCCTCCTGTGTGTCATTCCCTTATTACCATGTGTGTATTTATAGTGTGTCTTTGCCTGTGTTCCTTGTCGCATCGTCTGCATTACTCTGTGTTACTCAGTGTTTCTCTGCATCTCTCTGTCCCTCTCTGCCCCTCTCCGCGCTGCTTTCTCCATGTCTTTTCTGTGTACCTTCATGAGTTATGGTTTTGTTATTATTAGCTTTTCCCAGTTTAGGTTTATGTTCAGTTCTGCCCTCGCCATGGTTATTTTTCACTGTAAATAAACTCACTTGCACCTCTGCCGCTGTCTCCTATTTGGATCCTCCTTCTCACCTCCAAACAACTGCTGCCCCAGCTGTGCCACCACCTGGGCATCACACAGAGTGTCTCTCTGATTTCTCAGACTTTTTATCTGATAGTGCTCAGCTCAGATAAAATAATTATTGTTGGCGATTACAACATCCATGCAGATGCTAAAAATGATAGCCTCAACACAGCATTTAATCTGTTATTAGACTTAATTGGCTTTTATCAAAATGTAAAAGAACCCACACACCACCTGATAACATTTACATTAACAATAATTGATTACAAACCAGTGGAGAGTAGATTTCTTCACAGACGATGTCTTTCTGAAAGTGTTGTAACTGAGTTTAAGAAAATAATTTGCATGCTGTTATCATTGTCAATACCCTGTACCAACACAGAGCAGAGCAGCTACCTGAATACTAAAACAGAGGTTGATTATGTTGTTACTGATTTTGCCTCCTCACTACGTATGACACTGGATACTGTAGCTGCTGTCAAGAATGAGCCTCAAATCAGAAGTACCTGACTCCCTGGTATAATTCTCAAAAATGTAGCCTAAAGCAGATAACTAGTAAGCTGGAGAGTAAATGGCGCGTCACAAATTTAGAAGGTCATCATTTAGCCTGCTTGTTGTTTTATAAGAAAGTCCTAGAACATCTTACTATTCGTCACTGATTGAAGAAAATAAGAACAACCCTAGGTTTATCTTTAGCACTGCAGCCAGGCTGAATAAAAGTCATAGCACTGTTGAGCCAACCATCCCCTTAAATTTAACTAATAATGACTTGTCTGTCAAGGTTCTCAGTCATCCAGGTCATGAAGTTGCTTGAAGACGTTTCACCTCTCATGCGAGAAGGTGATAGGGTGGGGTGGGGCCTCACATATGATAGGGTGGGGCTAGGTTTCACAATGAGCTCACCCAAAACCCATTTTCACACCTTGGCTCAGAAATTACTCCTATCCATCTCACAGATGTAACATTATCTACAGCTACTCTTTCTCCAATTGATCTTCCTGAGTTAACTTCAGTAATTACTTCCTCCAAACCATTAACGTGTCTTTTAGCCGCCATTCCTACAAAACTGCTCAAAGAAGTTCTGCCATTAATTATTGCTTCAATCTTAAATAGGATCAACCAATCTCTAATAATCAGCTATGTACCACAGCCTTCAAGGTGGCAGCAGTAAAACCACTGCCTAAAAAGCCATGTTTTGACCCAGTGGTCATAGCTAATTATAGGCCAATCTCCAACTTTCCTTTCATGTCAAAAATTCGGAATCTGATTATTTTTTCAAGTAACGAGTAAAGTAAGGGATTACTATTGAAAAAAAGTAATTAGATACTGTTAATTTCCCATAAGCACGCTGCAATGATGCGTTACTAAACTGTGATTTTGTTTCTGAGAATGTCTCATGATAATGAAGTACGAGCGTGCGACATCCGTGGTAGCAACAGACGTGTGTAGATCAACAATGCATAATAGGGAGTGTGGGGGAGAGTACGACCATGCAGCGTTTAAAGCTTTAGAGTACCAAAAAGTGATTTAAAAAAAACATTGGTGTCCGCTGTACACTCTGCGTGGGAAGAAAACTTCTTTCTACAGCGAAAAATTTCCAACACATCATAGAAAAAATACAGACTAAAAGTGGTGTCAAGCACACAGTTTAGCCGCCCTCCACAGTACAGATGTTCATCGCACACAATAAATCTGATTTCAACAGTTGGCAAACATCTAAATTCCCGTGCAGACAAAAAGGCTGTATATAGGAGTAGCATTGCGAAATGCTCTGCTCTTTGGCCTAAAGCATGTCAATCAACATTAGCCTCTGAACAGGTGGAGGAAGTCAGCTGCAGGAAGCTAATGGTACCCACATCCAAAAGGTGGAATTCCCTTTTGGGGCCATTGCCAGAATCATCACAATTCCCTTGAATTAACTTAATCCCCTGTGTCTAAAAATGAGAATTAAGTGCCTTAACGAAAGGAAGTACAAATTCTTGGAAGAGTACTGCACTGTGATGAAGTCCCTGACAGTAGCTCTGGACATCTTACAAGTGGATGAGTGACCTATGGAGCTTTACTACCAATACTCACAAGCATAATGTCAAAGACACTTGCCCTGAAAGATGACCCTCTCTAGAATAACCAGATGTCATTGTAAAGGTAAGATTGCTTTGAGTGGATTTGTTGAATTTATTAGACCATTCATGGTGGGCGGATGTTACACTTTGTTTTAAGCTGTGTGTGCAATTATAAGACAGAATAAACGAAATATCCACCCCTTGTTAAATATCAGGGATATTGATCATCATTAATCATGAATATTAATCATAATATCAACAGAAGCCTCAACAAAATTTAAATCTCATACAGTATTGAGAGCACAAAAGATGGTTTAGGGCAGTAAAACCTACAAAATAATTACAACAGCTAATTATATAGTAAATTATTGTTATTCTTAGTTGCATCATATATTATGTTACAGGCAATCGAGACTTGTTTTGATGCTGTTCTGGATAGCTAAGAAGGACTTCTCGCAGCCGCCACTTGTCCCAAGTTTAAACTTCCTTGACTGAGAGATGAGTGTTGGAGAGAGCATGTGAAGGAAGAAGGAAAGATGAAGGAACTTCTCACAGCAGAGTGTCATAAAGTTGCTCCTGCAACTGACAATGTTTATGTGTCCCAACGGCCAGCCAGCCCAGCCGAAATTGACTTGTTTGAATTTGAGAACCAGCCCTCAGTGTATGAGCTTGAGATTCTGAATCTGTTCCCAAATCTCAAAAAGATGTACATGCAATACAACACTCCAACTCCATCCAGTGCACCAGTGAAATGGCTGTTGAGTTTAGGTGGATTGGTGCTTTTCTTTCGAAAGGTACAGACTATCTGATAGAAGGTTTGAGAAGTTTCTGCAGATGCGATATAATCACCAAAAGAAAACAATAAAGCATAGGTAATTTTCTGGGTAGCCACAAAATGAGACTGTATCAACAGCCTAAATGTAGCATGCAATAGCATTTTCTGTTTTGTTAATTTGGTAAAGTTTGAGGGCAGCACGGTGGTTAGCACTGTTGCTGCCCAGCAAGAAGGTCCTGAGTTCAATTCTTTCTGTGTGGAATTTGCATGTTCTCCCCGTGTTTGCATGGGTTCTCCTCAGGTACTCAGGCTTCCTCCCACCGTCCAAAGACATGCAGTTTGTGGGGATAGGTTAATTGATTAATCTAAATTGCCCATAGGTGTGAATGGTTGTCTGTCTCTGTGTGTTAGCCCTGCAACGGACTGGAGACTTGTCCAAGGTGTACCCCGCCTCTCGCCCTATGACGGCTGGGATAGGCTCCAGCGCCCCCGCGACCCTGAAAAGGATAAGCGGAAGCGGATGGATGGATGGCTGGATGGATTTCAGTGTTATTTGTAAACTGTTAATGAACAAACAAGAATACAGAGCTCTTTAAAGCCTTGTTTATTTGAAGTATTAAAATTACAGAAACATTTGATTACAGTTATAGCCCCACATGTGACACCTGGATGATTAAGAGAAATTGTATATGAAGTCCCCTAGATTATTTCACAATATTTTACCTGACACATGCGCTGCATACATATAGGTGTTTTGAATAATTGGGAGAAATTGTGTCAAACTGGATTAGTATGACAAATATGTGAATCTTATCACTGGTTGAGAAACTCTGATAGGTGTCTCAGTTTGGACAAGGCTGGTAGTGTGAGTATTTCCTCATGAAAGGCCTGTGGCCTTCAGAAAATAGTGTTTACATTTATTCAAATTACATAAAGGTCATATAACTGCCATGTAACTTCACCCAGACATATGTTTCAAGTTCAATAATATTCACATTTGTCTTATCCCTCATTAAATGCACCATATCCCTTTCTGTTCACAAATGACATCATTATCTGTCCATTTTCTAGCTACCTGCCTATGTAACTCTATTTTATTTTCTATCCTCTATTTGCCTGCCTCTCTGTCCCAATAGTTTGGGAAGATCCTTTATTCTATCATGTCTGCCAAGATGCTGTCATCTTCTTCAACGTCCACTTTGATCTTCTTGCCCACGAGCTGCTGCATATGTTCTGGAGGGATACCCTTTGGCTCACCAACCTTCACTGCAAACATGTCCAGGCTCAGCACTGTTGCTTTAGGGATTTTCACCTTAGCAATGACTGACTTGCCCAACTGGAGTAGAAAAAGAATAGAAATACATAAAAGATGTATTTTAATCCAGCTCATGTACGTTTTGCAAATTTGCACAGTTATGGATGTTCAGTGAACTGAAGAGGGTGGAAGTAAACACAGTTAACAATGACTGGTTTGATAGTGTTATGACATGGTAGAATTTCAAAACTCAAGTCAAATGACTCAAACTGACCTTATCATGGCAGGTCTTCTCGCATGGTAACATTTGCTTGACTGGTGACCCCATTGCTGTTTCCACCAGTCGTATTGCTCGGACCAGTTCTGCCAGCTCAGAGGGCTCCAGGGATGCCTCATGGTCATTTCCCTTCCAGGTCTTATCCAGGGTCACATGGCGTTCCACAACTTTTGCTCCCATCGCCACGGCAGCCACAGTGATGTAGATCCCTTTCTCATGACCAGAATATCCAATTGGAACATCTGGAAATTCCTCCTGGTATTTCTTTTAAAAAAAAAAGGAAAAAGAAAAAAAAAACCTATAGTATTACACAGACTAAGTCTGAGCATATTAAAGTCAAATGTCTTGTATTGCCCAACACAATCACTGGTTTTCATTGACAGGTGTCTTTGCTCCAGAATCAGCACCTACTTTGTGATTGTGTTATATGACACTGTAAAATCTAGGGGCTGGATTTGAAAGTAATTGTTCAGCTAGCTGTTGTGTAACTGCTATGGTTTATAATAATGTGCCATGAAATGCCCGGTGCACTGGCCATTTGTATCCTCTGTATACTACGGCAATGAAGCTTTCATTCGTGATATATGTTAATAATTATGTTCTAAGCATCTGTGAAAAACATTAATGTAGTTTGTCAACATCATCTGTCAACAGTGTTGGGGAGTAATGGAATATATGTACCGGTGTTACATATTTAAAATACAAAATACGAGTAACTGTATTCAGTTACAGTTGCTATTTAAAAAGGTGATATTCAGAATACAGTTACTTTGTTGAAATTAATTGATTACACAGTGGTCTTATACAATCATATGTGAGAAACAATATGATTGTATGTGAGAAACAATGCAAAAGTATTTTCAATTACATTTCATATTGGTTCTGCCTCTTTTGGGAACGTCCATCATGATCCTGAAAGGATGTTTTTCACTGTCTACCAGTCTAACTAAAAAATAAAGTTGAACAATTATGTACCTGTAAGTGTTAACACTGGTTACTAATTGGATCTGTGTGATGTTCTACAAGGGAGTCACGTCTGATACATCCCAGCAATTATAAAATCTGAAGTGGAAAATCAATCCTAAAATGGCAGTGGAAACTAAAGTGTCAAGTTCATAGGGTGGGTATCTTTTTAACATGTAAACTAAATTAGACAAAACAAAGGCAGAACACACAGTCAGAATGAATTACTGTATTAAAAAAATGTAAAAAAGTGGGGAATAGGGGCATATTGATTTTTTCACCATAGTTGACCCAGAAGAGATGATGATGATGTTCATTCGTCTTACCCTGATCACACTGAGGTTGACCTCTTTAGGATCCAGAGGGTAGGCGCTGGTGCACTGCAGGAGAGTAAATTTCTGGTTGTGCTCCTTTACTGTCTTGTAGACACGACGTATGGTTTCCATGGACTGCATCCCAGTGGATACCACCATTGGTCGCCCTGAAATTGATAGAGTTGATATATACATAACCGAACAGACTGAAAAAATGGGATAATAATAATAATAATGGATTGCATTTATATAGCACTTTTCGGGACCCTCAAAGCGCTTTACAATTCCACTACTCATTCACTCTCACATTCACACACTGGCAAAGGCAAGCTACAGTTGTAGCCACAGTGTTTTGTGTTGTTTCACTTTAAATTTGTTTAAAAGGAAAAAGCTGAAAATTTAAATAGTTAAAAGTTGAAATGTGAATAGTTGGTTTTTGTATTATATGATTTATTTGTTACATTTTATGTGGAGTGAATAAATAAAGGTAGATTTACGATGGCCCCTAGAGACAAAGCACATACAAACTTCAAAACACTTAAAAACTCCAAAACAAGTACAAAAGAAAACAGAAGTGTTCCCGAATGCTAGGCACAGTTTTGAGCTTGTGTTACCTATGGCTACACAAGCCAGGAAATACCAATGACCGGATTTGGTGTGTGGTAATAACAGGTAAATGAACGTTTTGCTTTTTTTAATTATTTGAATATATATGAGTGCTTGTGTATAAATACACAAACAATACACATATGCTTTC